TCTTTTTAGTATTTCTTACTTTTTTCAGCTTTTTGTTGCCCGGCATTTTTGAAAAATTTCACCACAGTCTAATTTGATTTGAAAATTATTGCATTCTGTTGTTATTTATATTTTATACAGCTTCCCTACTTTTTTTTAGAAGTTGCCTTGTTGTGTTGTATATTAACTTTCCAAATATGACAATGTATTTTTTATTTTCTTTTTTTGGATGGATCTTTACAGTTAGGAACTCTGTGTCTTCAGAAATAACAATTACGTGTTCCCACCTTTGACCAAAGGACGGCAGGGATGAGGATGAGGACTAAAGCAAGCATCTTAATGAAAGTCAAAGAGACCTGGATGTGAGATGCCATGCGCACACTCAAGCAGTTGACTGCCACAAGAAATGCTACAGAGACACAAAGATAAACAACTGGCAAAATAAACTATTGTGGTTTGTATAATACAAACATGTAAAAAAAAATAAAATACAGGACTGCGCAAAGTTGTTGAGTCATTTTTCATCTCTTTATATTTTGCTAGGAAAATGGGAAATAGATGAATGAATAAAATGTCTGCACGCATGGAAATATGTGTTCTGTTTGGAAGTGTTTGGCAAAACAAGTTTGTACAAAATTGCAGAAACCTGTTTTTACAATTTAAATGAGCTTTAAAGATTTGGTACTCTGACCTTTATTCTTGAACTCCCTAGTTCCCCAGGCTTCTTGAAGGACATTCAAAGATCTTCTTTACATGTTGGCTGCCTCCTTTTCTTTCCTCTGTCAAGCTGATTTTTGTCAAGATCAGATCTGAGCTCTGATCTGAGTCCATGACTGATAGTTTTCCATTGTGTGTTTTTCTATTCACATATACTTTTACTGCTTTGGCAGTGTATTTGGGATCATTTCAAGCTGAAAAATGAAAATATTCCCAGCCAGATACTTTCCAGCTGATATTGAAAGGTTTATAAAAGTCAGACGTTTCTTTTGTGTGTTCAGAATTCCAACAAATTTGACAAGATCCCCAAAATCACAGCATGAAATCAAGCCCCAAACCATGACAGAGCCTCCACTGTGTTTTACAGCTGGTTCAGACACTCACTGTTGTACCTCAATGATTTGAACAAAACAATATTCCATGAAACCAGACTTTCAGTTAGTTGTATTGAAGCATACCTCAGTGGCTTTGTAACAGACACTCTTCCACTTAGACCATTTCTAATACGGCTTCTGTGAATTTTAGATGGATTACCTGAAGGCCTAGATGCATACCTCAGTCTCTGCTGGATTTTTCCTATAACTTAAGGTCACGTTTATTGGATTTTGTTCATCTGCTACAGATTCTTTTAACCACTTTTTTTCCATTTCCTCAACATTTTAAAGGAAACACTGCACATCTGAGAAGCTTTTGGCTAATAACACTTTAGGAATCACTTTGTGAGAGCAAAAATACAATTTCTTGCCCTGTTATCTTTTCTGTTCTTCATAGAGTCAGCTAAAGAAATTAGAGAAAAATTATTACAAGACAGTCTATTTGGAAGCAAAACATAAAGAAATCAAGGTAGACTCAAGACTTTTGCACAATACTGAGAACTGAAAAGCACTCACTCACTCCAAGGATGCTCACAAGTTTGATTAGCATTGTCAGAGCAGCACATGGTACAAAGAACGGCTCCACCACATAACGACCAAAGGCCAAGGACACGAGGGAAGTCGCAGCTGGTCTGGATATTAAAAATATTTTCAGCAATTAAGCGCTGATTCTATTTTATAACTCTAGGACAGGGGTGTCAAACTCAAATACACAGTGGGCCAAAATTCAAAACTGGCTAACATTAATATTTATTGAAAAAAAAATCTTCCTCCAGATAAAAGAATGGATCTTTTCTTATGGACTCAAACAAGTTTTGCTGAAAAACTGAATATGGAACAAGCAAAGCTTAATATTAACGATATATATATTAGCTGTATAATACCAGTAGGCCAGCTCTAATAGTAATTTGGCATGGCCAAATTTGGCCCGCGGGCCAGAGTTTGAGACCTATGCTCTAGGACCTCACGAAAAACGACTTACCTGATAAATAAGAACTCAACCCAGAGTCAGAGGAAAGCAGGAAGGGGTCCTAATGTCTCCAATAGATATGTGAAGTGACCCCCTGATTTTGTAAAAGTGGTGCCTAGTTCAGCATAGCACAGTGCCTCTGGAAGAACAGACAATAAGCACATGAAAATTTTTTGATTGTTATTTGACAATCAAAGGCCTTTCTGACAAAACCTTTAAAGAATTTGATCATCATCTTGGGCTCAAATCAGATTTTGTGGTTTTTAGACAAATGTATACATTGTCTAAAAACCACTATTACATTTAATATTTATATATGTTATTAAATATTTAAATTGAAATAAATATAGACTCTTACTTAATATGACTAGCTTAAGAGATTTATTTTTACATCTGTAATTATTGATGAACTCTGATAAACTTTGATAACCGAGCTTGCAACACGATGCTTCAAAATGTGTAGTTCACAAAACAATGAATTGACATCTTTAATTTACAGTTTATGGAACTTTAAGCTTGAGACATAAATACAGCCTTTAAAAGACAAGAGTTTTTGACCATGAATGCAGAAACAGAATACACTTTATTCAGATCTTACCAAACAAGGAGAGGACCCCACACAGTCCCCACACTAGAAGTGACAGCCCCACGCTGCCACTGTTCATTAGGACTCCCTTTGGTGCAATGAAGATCCCACTGCCCACCACTGTTCCCATGATGAAAGATACAGCAGGCAGCAGCCCAATCTCCCTCCGAAGGTGCACCAGCTCCTCATCCGTCTTCTTCTTGTTATCGTCCTCTTTATTCACCTGTGTGTGTCCCATTTGTCCGTGGCTTGCAGGTCACAAAGTAAATGAGCTTGAAGCTATAACAGAAAGAAGCCTCGACCTACACGTTTTTCTGTGTTCACTCGCTCTTACTCCATTGTCCAGCCTGACTAGGGAACAAAGCCAGTACTCTTCCAAACTTCAGCCATTAAATATAACAGCTTTAAGCCTTGACGCTTTTGTGTGGAGCTTGTCAGAGTACTTTTAGACTCAAAGAGAAAAGAGTTGGGATGTTGCAGAAACAGCTACATAGACTGCACATAGCTACTTTTAACAAGGTTCACACAAGCTGTCATTTTCCTCTGGTTTCACACAGTTTATGTGTTCTCATTTGTCTATACCTACTACAGAATGTTCATTTATCACTGCTTCCCTTCCTGTCACAACACGTCACTGATATTTACAAATTTATGAAAATAATTCAGCTACAGATTGTCCCACGTTTCTTTGTCAAGTTAAATAAACCTTTTTGAAGATTGTTTGACCAGTATGGGAGTAAAATGTTTACAATGTGAAGCTGTATTAGTGTAAACCTAAGCAATGTGGTTTATATCATCTCTGCTGACTGCATTTTTAAATATTAACATTATAAACTATCCACTTGAAAGGCTGCTAAAGCACTCTAATGCATTGTGAAACTATCTGTCTGAGCATATTAAGGGCTACATTAAGAATTTATTACCTTTGTGATTAAAGTGTAGTCAACATAATATATTGTAAATGTTAAAGCCTACATGTCAGACACCTTGTCCCAACCATGATAAATGACACAGTGTATTTATAAAAGAACAAGCTATTGTGATTCAAGGACAAAACAAGATACAAAATAACAGAGAGATTAGTTGTAGATTTTACTGACATGAATCAGCACAGATGACAGTCTTGCAATTTTAAAACCAGGAGCAACCACTACAAACATATGATCATCAATTTTTTAAATCTAGACGGAAAACAAGCAATTTATCTGATGGTGTTTTAACACTGGTAATGTCAAGGCAGGGTATGATTAAGCTTCTAGAGGCCTATATCTTGATATCTATATGTCCATATTTCCTTTTCTAAATGAAAAAGTTTGAGTGCACAGAAAAATAATTCATTAATTAATTAAGAAAAATAGCTAAAGTGTTTTAACAGCTTAACTAGGACAGATGAGAGGCTTCCATGCCACTATGTGTTAGTAGATAGAAATGGTAATAACTAGACTTTCTACAGGCGTGTGAAAAAGAAAGTCCACATTCACAGTTCCCATAGGAATGAACAAGCAGGTGCTACAAATCCCCTTGTTTAACTGATCACCAGTAAGTGTGACCACCTCGTGGAAAGTAGAAGTTTTGGCAGTTTGCAGGTCTAAAGCACTCAAGTGTGTTAACAAGATGCTGCAAGCATCCCAAGAGTGGACGTCCAAGTAAATTCAACTCAAGATCAGGCTGTGCAGTGTGCCAGGAAAAAGCCTCTTTGTGCTATAAAGAACATGGCAGCATGGTTAGAAAAGTTGTTTCCCCGAACAAACAACAAGACTTCTTTCATTTGGACAGACAGAATTCAAGTGGAGATGTTTAGTCATAATGTATAGCGCCAATTTGAGTGAAAACCAAATACAGCATATCAGCACAGACATCTCATTGAACCTTTCAAAGCGGTGGAGTGGTAATGGACTCGCTTTGAAGCCAGAGTAAAGACTTGTAGTCAAGACCGCCTAAACCAAGACCAAGACAATACCAAGACCAGAGGGTATCGAGACCAAGACAAGACCAAGACCAAGACCAAGACGGACCGAGTCAAGATCAAGACAAAGTCGAGACGAGACCAAGACCGAGACAAAAAAAGTCTTCAAACTGCAGCCACGGGTGTCAGGCATATTTATGTGTTTTTGCGATGCACTCGCACAGCCCTCCTCGCTGCTGTCTACAGTCTCACTCAACTTACTGAGAGGACAGACTCACGCTCCACTTGACTGTCTCGTCTCTCACCCTCTCTGTTTTTCACATAATGATATTATCCTATATCCTCGCATGTGATTGGCCACAATATGGAGGGATTGGAGCATAGCTGAGCCACTGTGTGAGAGCTGAGCAGCGAAAGGCAATTAAGTGATGAGCCAGCTCTCACTCAATGGGAGTCGACTCTTCTGATTCACTACAAAGCACTCTCTAAGCACGGCTCTTAGAGCTGATGCTTTTGCGCATGACACATTATCGAACGTTACGTTGTGTGTCATGGATACTGTTGACTCCAAATCTCCCGACCACTATGTCGATCTGAGACAGCAAAACCAAGACAAGACTGAGGGATCCGAGACCAAGACAAGACCAAGACCACATAAAAGTGGTCTCGAGACCGTTCTCAAGACATCCAATTTTACCAGAGGACTTGGGCACCTTGCAGTCATTGAGTTGACCATGAATTCCTCTAGAATACCAAAGTATTCTAGAGTCAAAGTGAGCCCATCAGTCCAACAGCTACATCTTGATTGAAATTGGGTTAGTGGAACAGCAATCTCAAGGACATGAGCAAGTCTACAACAGAATTGCTGAAAAACAAATAGTGCTGCAACACTCCAAAGACAGCTGCGGATTAATGAACACCTCCAAATCTCAAAAGAACTGAAGCCCAGTGATGTAAGGAAGAGTGGGCCGAAATTCCTCCATAATGTAAGAGACCGATAAAGTCAGAGAAAAAATGATTACTTCAAATTATTGCTGCTAAAGATGGTCGAACTGAATCATCGAGTGTAGGCTACTCGGTTTTTCACAGGATTTCACACAGGCCATAAAAAACAAAACATTAAGACGAGTGAACATGATAATGAATAAAGAGTATGTATTTGCATCTTTGCCCACTTTTTTGATTCTTACAGATATTTCAACCACTTTTCATTGTCTTCATCATCAAACAAAGACGTCTGTGTCCACAAGGTCATGTGACCTATACGTAAATTTTCTTTGATCAAATTATTGTTTGCGAGGTAGGATCAACACCCTTTCTTTTTCTTTCCATTAATAAATCCAATTTTTAATTAAGGAAATGCTTTTAATCTCTTTTAGAGAAACATCGTTCTGTTTTTTCTTTTTTCAGATCCTAGGCTTGAAACTATGACTAGCAGATGATGTAAGCCTTTTCTGTGCTTCATCCAGTGGTTAAAGTGAGATTTGGGGGATAAGTGAAACCAGTATAATGCTAGTAAAACATTTGAATTTGGAAAGAACATCAGTAGCTTAAATTAAAATTACTCATGATTACTACTTCTAGGAACCGGTCTTGTAAGTCAGCAGCCATAGTTAAAGATATCTGGATGCCTACTTTGATCCATTATTTTATTTAAATTTAATTTTAATGGTTAATCTGACATATCTAATAGCATTCATTGTTGTTCACATATAAGCTTTAAATTTCTGGTCCTTACCTTTGAAGAGACCCTCCCATCTTCCTCTCCTGACCTCTTTCTCTTTTGTCTTCCTCCATCTCTATGTGTGAACTTATCTCACACTCACTTTTCTTTTTCTTCCAGGAAACTGCGACTACACCAACTGCAGATAACGGTGGCTCGCAGACGCAGCGTGTTGCAAATGTTACAGAACAGTTTGTTTCTTTGGTGATATTCGTTGAGCTATTTGAAATGTTGCATTTGAAATTAGACGCCACTTCAAGAAACATCTTGTCCCTGCATCTTCTTTGCATCGACACCACTCTGAGGATGTGTGTGGGTGACAACACGTGGTGACTTAGCTGCTTCCATGGCATCCACTGGAAGGGCCAGGGCGGACTACATGAAAAACAAGATTGACTTTACATTATTTTGTATTAAACGTCTTATAAGATTTAACAAAAAGTGCCGGAACGCCGTTCTGAATCGTTTGACCCATGCCTTTATCATACTGCATTCAGTGAGTGTTTAAAGTGTGAATGTGAGTCAGGCATGGTGGCTCAGCATGAACTGAAAACAGGGGTGGTCCGGCATTTTTCTCCTCCACTCTTTCTGTGTGTGTCCAAGGACTGTCTAGTTAATCCAACTGGGGAATTCCTATTGTGCAGTAGACCTTTGTAAGGCCCTGACTGCGCGGGAGGTTCAAGGTCCTAAACATTCAGATTCGGATGATTTGGGGTCATCATGCTTGTCTTTTGTGTGTGTGTGAGAGAGAGAGGTATTTGCATGTATTTGTGTAACAGCAGTGGCGAGATTTTAAACACCTGAGGTTTATGTGACTGCATTTTTGAGTCAAGGGCACTGCTGTGGACTAGGCTACTCTCCTTGGTTCTGCTGCTGATTGAAGCACAAAGAGCATTCCTCGGCTGTGAATCAGAGGACAGAGGTCACCAACATTGCTCCAAATTAGCACTGAAACTCTTATTGAATCTTGGGGCATGTTTGCACACATATATAAAGACACATAAAGCACCACTTCAATCCCCTTGAAAAAAGACCTCCCATTTATATGAGCATTTTCATCTAACCCAGTCTAAACCATGTGCCGTCTACTCACTGTTAGGTCTGGGAATTTCCAGCAAAAGTCAAACCCAATGACTCTGCTCTACCTCCCTGTTTTTTGGGAAAAGTTAGAAGAAGAATGTAGAGGGCACTGGCTTCAGAAATACTACACCTTGGAGATGGTGCCTATTTCCCTGCACCACAGAGGTGCGTGCACCTGACTAAATGCCAGCAGGCTCTCCCCGTGGCTTAAGTGGAGGAGATCTAAGTCAAAACTGAATAATATTGTTTTTGGTTCATGTATGATTATGATTTAACCTCTTTGAAAAATAAACAGTGGTTCTTCAGATTTCAAAGAGTCTGGGTGGCTCACGTGAAGGCTGAGGATATTCTAAGGCAATACTTTTTGAGGCAACTAAAATGATGTCTCCCAGACTTTTGATAGCCTGGAAAAAGTTTTGATAGAATTTTTTTTAAAGGATTATATTCTGAATAAAATCCCTAACAGTTTGGATTGTAAGTATCCAAAATACACATATTAGATTAACCCTGACTCTAACACAAACTCGGATGAAGCTGATAGTTTATAAAACAGGATTTCAGCTACTCACTTCCAAGACCTTGAATGATGACTGAGTTATGACAACATATAGCCAACAATGTGTCTGAAAATATGAAAAAGCTGTAAACTGCAGTATAAATGAATGTAAGGTCAGTTTCTGGAGGAATTTCATGCT